TACGCGTTGTGTTTGTTTTCTGTGTGCTTGTAGACGATGAAGAATTATTTGGTTGTGCTATGACTGAGTCTATGTACAGCGTGGTCCGGAATACTTTTGTTTCCCTCATGGCCCTGGTCCATGGTTCATGGTTCGATTGTTAATTTCTCATTCTCAATTTGCGTAACTGAGCACGATAAAAGAGGCTTTGTGTCCTCCACTCGTTATTATCGGTTTACGCATTTGTCTGGGATGTTGAGCGCGAGCTTTTACAGTAATCCGTTGACTTTCCTTGCGAGATCAAAATGCTCGCCAGTAGACTGAGCGCCTAGCAGGGCTTTTAAAACATTTTTGCTAATTTTATCGGGACCTGAGTAGGACATTGATTTAAGTTTTTTGGTGACGTCTGACCTCTTCCAGGGTCACTAAATGTATGCTGACCTAAGCCCAAGAACCACTCGATAGCTCGAGATCTTCGTAGGTCCCGCTGACCTCCTTAGTTATTTTAACCTTATTAATTTTTGTTGCTTAGCCGCGAATCTGGTTGGAACCGAAGGAGCTGCAGTTGTGTCTCAAGATTGTACAGTTTCTTACTAATATCATTCTGCTGGGTTTACTCACTTAACACGGAAGTGCCGTGGTCAAATAATGACAAACTCATTCCAAACTCTAAGCCTGCAAAAATAATTTCCAACGGCCTATGGTCGAAAAGCGTTATTCTACACGCCGATGCTTCTATTTGTGATATGAGTACACTCCGGATACGGGCAAGGAGGTTGTGGGCTACACCGCTGATGCAGCAGTGAAAGCATTGCCGATATGCGCCCTGGGTTTATGTGTCCCACACATAAACGTCGTTATGTGGGACTCGAACCGGACTCGCCAGTAGCCTGCCAGTGCAGGATAAAGTATACATTTCCCTTACGTAAATAAAAAGTCTTCAAGAAGGTTTCTTGCGCTAAGAAAATATGTACATTATGATCGCGTGGTTAGATGCAATTTCTGATATCTAATATCAATTTGCGTTTAATTACGAAACGGAAGAAGATAGACCGTGTTGATTCTATCTGCGTTTGTACTATTCATTAGAAAAAGCTTAAGTTTTAAGACATATCCATGGTTATGTAGCGCATGTGCACTACGATAGCACAATGCCTTTGTCGGATATTCGGCTGCGCAAATGGAATTTAATAAGCTGCTGACTAGTTAAAATTCTTCGATGAAATTGGCCCGTTATTTGGTGGGTTGCGGCGTCAGCCATAAAGAGGTCGGGACTGCTTGTCTAGTTTGATCCAGTCTTTGAAGCGATTTTGATTGGGTTTAAAAAAGTGCTTTGTGGGTGTGGGATTCACGCAGTGGTGGTCCTGGGGGGCGCCCAAAGCCCCAAACGACTTCATGTTCCCTTGAACAGACCTTAAACAAGGCTTTAAAAATATGCCCCTATATAAGAGGTTAGAGTTTGGAGGTCACATACAAATATTATTTCTTTCAGATAAAATACGTATAAATAAAATCATATTTATTTCAGATAAAATGCAGCGGGAACTGGTAATTTACATTTTATATATATAATTACTACTACTACTAATATAATGTTTTGTCAGCTGTATCAATAATACCCCGAACGGATTAAAACAAAAATTTAATAATCACTCACTCTCCTACAAGTCACACAATTAAGTCATACAAGAGTTTTGACAATGCTTGCGCAGTAACTGCACGAAATCAATAGTTTACTCCTCTTACAGTTTACATTGTACAGTAATGTTTTAAAAAAAATTGTTGGTATTATTAATTTACTATGGGTAATTCATTATTTGTATAACGGACGAGCGCGGCCCTCTACTACAATTATCGTTTTACTTTTCATCCCCTAAATAATGATTCTGCATGTGTCTTCAAGTGTGTGAAATATATGCGGATATCTATTGGCCTTAAAAGCTTTTTGAGATATATCCATTGTTACTCTACTTATACCACTTTTTTAAAGCGCACACCGCGCTTTTCTTCAATAAAGATTTTTTTGTTAATTACACTATTCATAATTTAAATTTAATGAAAATTATTTTTAACCGACTTCAAAAAAGTAGTAGGTTTCTCAATTCGACCGTATATATTTTTTTTTGCGTTCGGGGATAACTTCGTCATTTATGAACCGATTTTAATGATTCTTTTTCTACATTTTAGTTCGGTTATTTACAAAAGTGTGTTTTTTTTGAGTTTTTTAATTATTGTCACAGTCGGTTAAGACTAAAAAATAAAACATTTTCAAGGCGCTGCTTGCGGCAATGGCAAACAAAAATTACACTATACACACGACACACTTGGTTGCAGAAAACTACACAATACACTTCGTCACCGAAACAGGCACATACCTTTATCTGCAAAAGCGAGCGATTTGGTGCTGAGGTTGAAAGGATGCACAACTTTAAAGGTTACGTGCAAGGGGTGTGATAAGTTGCATAGCCTCCCAAGTGAGTCCCAGCCAGACTACAGGTATCGATCGAGCCGAAGTTCGGCCCTCTCGGGGACCCCCGATTCGGAATGCGAAACGGATATTGAATGACAGTCCAAGCCGAGGTCCCCTCGTCCGTCCCGAGGGTCCTTGAGCCTAGTCACTCCATGGAGCGACCTGAGAGTTGGGCTGCCCCAAAACCGGTGAAATTAATAATAATGGCGAGCTCATTATCCCGTAAACGAAGTTCAAGTGCGCCCGCCCACCTCAAGTCCGGTGGATCTGTAAAAGGCCCAAGGTCAACAGTGGTTGATCCAGCAAAAAAAACACGTGGATATACCTTCGAATATGCTTGCATCGTACGGCTGCATGGTGTGGAATAACAGCGTTGATTGAAATTTCGATTGTTAAGTTATTAAATATTTCTATAAATTTCTTGTGAATTATTTTCTAAAATCTGTAAATATAGATATCTAGATATATATCTTAGGGAAGATGAAAATTATTTTTATTGGATTTAAGCCTGCCATTTAATTTATGACGTCGAAGTTAAAAAAATGTCTCATATTATTAGAATATTAGATTAAGATATATTAAGATATATATTATTTTAAATAAAAAAATATGAAACGAAGTGCCTATTTTCCTTTTGTTTTATATATAAAACCTTAACATTAGATAGTGGAACCCATGTTTTCTTTTTAATATTTTTATTTTGTGTTTGTCGTTTAATTTTTATAATTTTTACAGTTGTATTATTAAACGAATCTTTAAAAATTGATTTATCTCCTTTATTTAAAACTTTATCTGCGAAGGTTTCAAATACTTTCCATCATTAATGTCTAATGTGGTCTGAGCCTCAGACTCGGGCGTAATTAGACGTTTGAATGTGAGAATAAAATTAATCATTAATGAAACAGAAACAAAGTAGATTGGATGACTAACGCTTAGTTTAGTGGAAAGAGAGTCTGGACGCAAAATTCGGAAGGCACTGGTTCGAAACTGGCAGCGGTGAAAAATTCTGCGAAAAATTTAGTTATTTTTTATTTTGCTATTCTGTTTTAAAAGTGTGATTATTAGATATATTGTAAAAGAATCGCATAGCATATCGCCAAGTATTGCTACAAATGCAATAAGACGTCGAGATTTTCGCACCGTGAATATGTCAAATCCAGAAGACGTCGGTTCTGTTCCCTCAGCGACGAAAAACTTTTCATTTTAAGAGCAGAGATTAGCGTTATAAAAATATACTAAATATTTAACTTACATTCACTTACACCCTTTACATTGTACTATTCTTTAATTTAAAGATTACTCATAATGAAAACAGGGCTATCATTATTACCATATACATTTCTAAATTTTGGCGGCACACTAAGAATTTCGTGGCACACAAAAGTATAAGCGGCTGAGAATCACTGATCTACAAGAATCTACACATTTTTGCTATGTTCAAAGACTGCACTTCTTAGAATTACCATTGCAATGATACCTATTTTAGCAACTTAAATATTATGATCTATTATCCTCTTTATTAAGTCGATTACTACAAATTTTTAAATAAAACTATTTTAAGGATGGTATACTTTAATAAGTTTACCTATATGTAGTTGGTTTCTTTATTAAATTACCTTAGAAAAGGAACAATGTGTACACAAAATAAAATGATTGGTTTATTTCATATTCATAGTGAACATAAATATTTACGACTTACGGAGTATGAGTTAGGTATTCATGTATTCAAATCTCATCCATCGCATAGAATTGTTTACGCAGATGATATTGTTAAATATTTCGTTACTTTGTCATACTTTTGTTACGACAGTAGGATATTTAAAGTAAAGTAAGCTTTTAGCTATAAGTAGCTATGTAAGAAGTGTAAAGTAAAGTTAAATTCTGCAAATTTACTTATGTACCTCACAGTGATAAATAAAACAACGTCTTTTAATAAAGATTTATTGGAATTCTCTATGAAATATCATTATATATTATACGAATATCTTAACTAGGTATCACTTTTTTGATTAATTCATGCTTACTTCGAAAGATAAAAAAGTTACACTTTAAGACATTAACTTACACATAGAAAAGTCGTATTTTAAGAACTTTGTTAGCATTAAACAAAAATGTTCCTTCCAGTGGTCTGTTTCTTAACAAATTATGTAGAGTACAATCCGTCCATCAGTATGAGGTGGTAAATTGTAGTATATTCCACTTTTCATCGAACTAATTGCGTTCGAAACGTGCTTGTCACAGTAAAGGGTGCTTGGATAGCAAAGCTACAAGCATAAATCGCGATTCTAAATCCCAAAGCTTCGTTTACCGAATTGGCAAAATAAAACAACACAGTCATTTACACTTATTTCAGATCAATATTGCAACGAGCTCGGTTAATTCTATACACACGGTTAACAATTTGATGTTAACATAAAATAAATGATAACAACCGTTATTTATACAAATGCCAACAAAGAATACCTTTCGCATATTTACACAGTCAACGTAGCTTACATTTTATTTATTTGACAAACTGTTTACGAGAATATTATCGTCGAGACATCTGTTATCTTGTTTCCGTGGTAGCCAGTGCTTCGAATATGTGCTTGTACCAAAAGTCGACGGTCTTGCCCCACGCGCTCAGTGTGGACGTGTCCAGTCTGAGTACTTCGATGAACATATTAACGAAAACGTCTTTTAAGTCCTGTTGAGAGGAACAACAGTATATAAATAATTTCCATATAGATAATAATGTAAAAGAATTCATTGAAACGAAACATGTAAGCTAAAATAGGAGATTTTCTGTTAAATTTCAAGAGAAATTCAGTTTCTACAAAAACTATCATACTATTAATCTAAAAGTAATACTACTTACTAATTAATACTACTTTAAACGTTTCTTCAAAAACGACTTCGAGCTTTTGGAAGTGGTAAATTTGAAACTATATCAATTAAATACTCAATCCAATAAGTGAAATTATTTTTATAATAACTAGACGATTGTTATTACAATAGCACTAGCAATACTTGTCGATTTATATTTACCTCGATTCGATTCGGGTAAATTTAATGTTGCTATAAGTTTAGAACGGTCCCGACCGCGAGGGAAATATATCTCGTTTCAAAGAAATGAGCTGGCTTTATGCAAAGTTGCCTTTGTCAGGCGCTGACGGATTATTGAATACATGAGAGAGAGAAATATGTTTTCTTACAAATATATTACTATTTTGGACTCCACAATTTTGTGGGTTTGGATTTTTTTCAAAAGAAACTGTAAGACGGAAATATTAATTTAAAAATATTCTATGATAGTTTTTTGTTCTTTAGTTTCTCATTTCATATATAAAAGATACTAAAAAAATATTCCATTTATTACTAAATATTAACCAGTAGTGGAGATCGAACCCACAACCCCGGGCGCAGAAGACTGGTTTACTATCCACTGCGCTATACGGTGCGTCTGTTTTCGGGAAGCATTATGAACTTTTTCGTATCCTATATAATCATTGTTTTTTTGGAAATGTCACCTATCAGTATGTATTTCACGAAAATATCATAAACAAGGTCTTGTAGCAAAATGTACGTAAATTTTTAACCGACTTCAAAAGAAGGAGGATCTCAATTCGACTGCATTATTATACTTTTGTTACCTCAGAACTTTCTACTGCTTGGATCGATTTTGATAATTCTATTTTTATTTGAAAGCTGGTGCTGGATCTTGGGCTCCGGAGATACTTAGGGAACATTAAAAAAATCATAAAATAAATACGGAGAGAGATATTTGAAGTCGGTTTTGTTTTTCGTTAATAAAAATAGACTTATCTAATCATGAGATTGTACTTTTAAAAAAGATACTCACGTTAAAATGTATCTCCTGTATTTTTCTCTTTTGATGCGACTCCCCGAGTTTTACCATAATCTCAACTACAATCTCAGGTTCGTTGAGGTTATTGACAGCCTGGTTGAGTGAGGACATTAGATTTATAACGTGCGCTTTGAATTGGAAGCTTCTCTCGTATTCCTCCTCGGGTAGTTTCCTCACCATTTTGAAGAATTCTCTGGTTTCGGGATACGCGCGGAATAACCTGTACAAAAGGAACTTTTATATTATTTGCTTTTCAGTGACGCACCTTTATCAATATGAAATCAGGAAATAAATGACCCTGCGGTGGATCATATACTTATTTATTTATTTACCCTTTATGCACAAATAGTACAATGGCGGACTTAATACTAAAAGCATTATCTCCCAGTCAAACTTGGGGTGGTACAGAGAAAATTAGGATAAAATATACGTACATAATTATGTTCAGTATTTGCATCCAACATGCAATAGCAGTTGGTGGAGTGACCACTTAAAGCATTTTTGCAATTTTACGGTTCCGTACCCAAAAGGTAATTGGAACCCTATTACTAAGACTCCGCTGTCTGTTTATCTGTCCGTCTGTCACCAGGTTGTATCTCATGAACCGTGATAGTTAGACGGTTGAAATTTTGTAAAAAAACACAGATGATGTATTTCTGTTGCCGCTATAACAACAAATCCGCTATAAAAACAGAATAAAAAAATATTTAAGTGGGATCCCATACAGTAGACATGATTTTTTTTGCCGTTTTAATAGATAATGGAACGGAAACTTTCATGCGCGAGTCCGATTCGCACTTTGTTATTTTGTTCACATTTATTTATCTGTATCATAGACAGAAAGGAATAAAAATATATAAGCGTAATAAACTATAAGTCTATTACTTCGAAGTGATCTACGCGAGTAAAAGTTAGTGCGACAGAAATTTCTTCCTCTCCTCAATTCCGTCCCTTCGATCAATTGATTAATAGGCCAATGACAATGTATCTGATATTGGTATATAATATTGCTAAGACTAAATATAATATTGCTAACTATTGTTGCTTATCGCATTAATAGCATTGAAATAAACCGCTATTTCTGATTCCCTTTGAGGTTACTAAGGCAAGGATGTATCACCTCTTCAGCTTTTACTAATTCCCTTTCAGGTAATATATTAGGGCAACGATTTATCTATGTATATCACCTCTTCAGCAACTCAGTCCCGTTGCCCACAGGGTCCTTGTAGACCAGCGCCCAGGACTGTTGAACCGCGAAGATCTCGCGCCTCGTCAGCCCCGACACCGGGTTCACTTCGTCGGGGTCCCCGCCCCACCAGAGGTAGCTCAGCCATCCGCCCATCGCTCGAGACCGGCCCCCTGATGCAACTGCTTATTCTGATGCACTGGATTGAGAGAAATTAGCTTCCAACAACTGTTTTCATTATTTTTTTATTTTGGCGAACTAAATATCCTGCTGTGTTGTACATTTATCTTTTTTTTTGTAAGAAGACGACAAGCAAGCTGGGGGTAACACGATGTAAATTGATAATCGCCGCCTGTGTACAATTGAAACACACGTAAGGACTACCTCACTCACCAGACGATATAAAACTTCCATTTCACACCGTTGTTCTGTGAGGTCGTGGTACTTCCCCAGATGGTCCATTCGTGCAACAGTGAAAACTGCTATGTGGCTCTATCACAAAGGAGACACTATCGGGCTTGATTATATATATGTACAATAAATAATAGACATATATTGCAAAGCATAGTGTTGTTGCAGCGCGGTGTATGCAGTACACAGAACGAGGGTGTCCTGAGCTTTTGCTAATTCAACTATTTCTAAAATTTTTTACTTCGATAGTGCCAAATTGTGTGTTTCTGATGTTGCCTGAATAAGTAATCTATTCATTAAACTATTATATTATCATTAATTTTTAACTATTACATACAGGAAATTTATACCTTTAAATAAAAATAACATTACCCTATTTAGAAATGGTATATTATTCATGTTACATGTTGGTGTTTCGAGAAATTAATAAATTGATGTCGGCGTAAATAGTGATAAAACGACGTATGGTGTATAAAACACAATGATTTGGATGAAAGCATGTTTACTAACAACGATCAACTTTGCAGTGATACGTGAAAATAAGACGAATGCTCCAAATTATGGTGACAATGAAACTCAATATTTAAAAAGACTTCATATTTCTATCATGTGAAACAATATCATCCTTCGTTGCGTTCTGTTTTCCATAGTTCTATACAAAGAAAAAATATATGTAGGTAATACAAGAGCCGTGATAGCGCGTGGTGGCCTATACCCTAATATCTTCCAAACAGAAGAGGCTTATACTCAGCTGTGGTACATTTATGTAAGTTGTTACTTTACTTTTTTACTTTTATATAAATAATTGGCTTATTAAATGACTTTATGTAATTACTTTAGTTTAATAATAGTACATTATCTTATCCTTTAAACGAGTAATTCTTGTATATATATAATATATATATATATATATATATATATATATATATATATATATATATATGTATATAATTGGAATCTCGGAAACGGCTCTAGCGATTTTCATAAAATTTGGTATGTGCGTACATTCGGGGGCGAAAAATCGAATCATTTTTAGAAAATGTCGTTTTATCCCAGTTTTCAGGAAATGAAAAATATTATTCGAATAGAACGGTAAATTTCACCGAAAAAAAAATGTTATAATAGCTCGGTCGGTAATCGGCCGACCGCTAACAAACAGCCACGAAACAGAAGGCCGTGGTTCGTATCACGATCATTTACACCCTTATTTTTTTTATTTTTTTTCGATTCCAGATCATTGCTTTCTTTATCTTTTATTTTTTGTCGATTTGTTATTTTGTTATTTTTTTCTCTTTTTTTTTTAAAGTTCTTTCTTTTGTGAAAAATACCAGTTCATATTTTCTTATTATTACGTCGGTAAGATCGAAACATATTATTCATATTTCATTACTTAGTAATTTGTATCTAAATGTAATTTCCAAAATACACGATTTACCAAAAAAAAAAACAAAGCGAGCAAAGCTCGGTCCTCCAGGTACTTATTCTTATATTACGTAGATACCGTTCAATGCGTTCATATCATTTGAAATGTTTCAAATACCTACTATGCAGCATTTAAAGTTATGGGATGGACCGTGTCTTGTGACCTCCTGCACTCACTGATAACCAATCGATAGAAAAAAATCGATCTTTCATTTAAAATAGTTCCGCTGCATTAATGCGTTCTTAACGTAACGTAATTTAGATAGATTGGTTATAAACATAAACATTGCGGTGAATTATGCCCGTTTTCACCATTGGTCCCTAACTTTAAGGGAGACCTAAAATGCTAGTTTTGTTTTCAAGTGAGTTTGTCTCTAACTAGTTTGTCTTAAGTGTCGTTAAGGACCTGAAAATTTGTTGTTAATGCTAATTACTGTTTTCAATTTAACTTTATGATAGTAGTTTTTTTAAGGCTACAGCTAATAATTTTAAAGGGTAGTCACAAAGTATGTCACGATTAAATATTATTGAGTGTTAATTTAAAAAATGTTTGTACCTTCCGTTTCGTCTTCACTCGTCTCAATACCAAAAACGCCGACAGCAAAAGGAATATCGAGGAGAGGTAAACAAATAGAAGCATTGTCGCGACAGCAGTGCGTTATAAACTCTTCGCTCGCCAATAAACGGCGGGAAACTAATGTTTATGATAATTATTATAACTCCTTTGTCGCAATCACGTGTTACGTTTATCTGGGGAACAACAAATTCGCCCGTCTCACAAGACAAAATCAAACAAGGCGACAATCAGCTGACATGGTTACTCACTCTCACTCAGTTTTTATTAAACGTGATCATGATGTGTTTGCTTTTTATATGATTGTAAATATTTGCCGGACTTTTGTTTTGTTTGGTATTAGTTTTGATAGGTCGTTCGGGGATAGCATTACTCATAATACTGTAGTTGCATTGATGGTGGACGTGAAGAGAGATAGGAGAGATAAAGACTGTATGTTTGAGAGATAAAGGTATGTAATGGCTTTTTTTCGATTATATGATAGTTTGAGAGAGTCAGCAAAAGAAATAATATTACAATATTACACTTTAGCGACAATATTTTGAATTTGGGACCCCCGGGGTACTGCCCAAAACACGACACACACGCAGGGCTAATGAACAACACAACGAAAGCCACCACGTTTCAGGGCGATTCTCATCAATCCACCGATTAATAATACGCCAAATAGGCGTTACGTTCTGAATACCGAATTTGTCAACCCGTAGCCGACAACCCTATATCTCATAACCGACCCCGTCAACCATATAACCGCAAATAACATAGAAGTGCTGTGGTAGGGCCACGCAGCAGACTTCGCTGTTGCACGAATGGGCAAGTCCGTCCGGGGCAGTCCGAAGTGCTATAATTCTGCGTTTCGTCTGGCGAGTGAGGTAAGCCGGCCCCCTTTATTGAAAGTTGGCAACGCATCTGTAACCCTACGGGTGTTGTAAATGGCCATGGGCGGTGAAATTTATCATTTAACATCAGGTGGACCGCCAGCTCGCTTGCCAATTACCTACATAAAAAAAGTGCTCGCATGTTCACATGTGTCCACTCTCTTAGTTTAGGGTCAAATCAACTCGCTTCAATACTTTTCTATGGGTTCGGTGTTAAAAAAATCTTTCTACAGTCTTCGGACTGAAAGCGTAACGTTCGTTAATATAAAATATGAGATATCTTGAAAACTTCTAACTGCATTGATCATGATTCTAAATAAGTTGAGTTTACATAGAAAAATTCTATCTCCTGTTTATTATACGCCTGCGGGTATTGTTCAAGATATCGAAAGAATTCTCACTTCACTCTGAAAACATATTGATTATCAACGCGAGAAAAGTTATTTGCTGTAACCCATATAAAATTCACCTTACTTGAGCCCAAATATAAATCATAACTACAAAATTATAGATCCAAGGAATATGTGTTATTTTTTATTTGTTTACACATCTTTTAATTATTAAACATTAAATCTTATTATCACCACCCATTTTGTGCTGTAACATACGAAGTCTTGAGTGCATTTTACGACGTTCCTTGCTATAATTGCTTTGTGGTTGGCTTGTGGGTTCGACTCCAACTTGGCACAAGTATTTAAATTGCCTATAAATAGTTGTTCTGGATATGTATCTTTTTCCTTTTTAATTTGTGTTTGTAAAACGCCTTTACTTCTCAAGATTCTTCTACATCAGGGTTTATAAAAATAAAAAAGGAAAAGATTTGGTTTTGATAAAGGATAATAGTAAATATGATGAAAAGGTTTAGCAGTTCGTATATATTAATTTATAAATGACTTCAAGTTTTCGTGTCGGATTTTATATTGTCGGAACTGTGATATATTTTGCGTTTATAAAGTAACGAAAGACAACTGAACACCGAATTTACTCGAAGAACAAGTAAAATAGTGAGCAAGCAAGCCCTCGAAGATGTCTATTAACACGTTTCTATTAATTTATTTTATATAACTTTTTAACATCCGTCAAGTATCATCAAGAGTGTACAGATTGCCTTGAACTATAAATATTAGGATGGAAAACATTTTACGACCATGAACTCGAGTAAAGTTCGAAGTGTAGGGAATTAAAACAAATACGAAAAGAGACAAATCAGTAAAATACTTTTATTTCTATAAAAAAATGTGTTCGCGATCATAGTTCGCTGGTTCGGACAGGATGGCGCTGTGGGGGTGTAGTCTCTGCAATCGATTCCCAATGAAATACAATTTCAAACACGTTAGGCCAATAAGATTTAATTTTAAAAGTCTCTGAATGTATGAATAAGTCAGTTGTAGTTGTATAGGATGTTACAAATTTTGTTTCGTTTATATTTAATTAGTTTCTTTAAAAAATATATTTTTTTAATTATGGATTTTTTTACGTTTTATACTTTTTTATGATTATTGGCAAATAGAGTTAGACGTGTGTTCATTTATTGTCGCGGTTGAAACGACACGCTGTATACTGGTGAAAGTGTGAAACATCGTTTATCCAGTTTCTTTCCCCTCAAGTTACTTTTGTTAAACACAAGACCATTATCACGAGGTTTGCAGCTAAACTGTATGTTTGCAGAAAACATTGTTAACTTTTATCAAAGTACGATAAATGAAGAAAATTTCTTTTGTCATTACTTCTCGAAATCATTATAGGCCCTGTTGTTATAGGGCTGCATAATTATGGTTATTGCCTAACAATATCTATTAATCACTAAATTATCGTTAAACTTCAGTGGGCATGGGAGCAAACTCGTAAATTTAATTGTGAAAAATGATAAT